GTATAATCAAATGTATATATACTTGGACTATATATATATATATATATATACTGGAAACTCCCCCCAGGCTGATAAAACCACCAAATTCCCAGAAAAAAAAAAAAATCACCTCTGTGTATGTGTTGGACACTGACAAAAACATCACCTCACTCGCTGTCAGTAAAGACAGTTGGGTGTGTGAAACTATTTAATTCTCTATTTGTGTTAGGTGAGCATTGTGTTGGCTAGTCTTTTAACAACAGCAGAATCCAGCAAGATAAAAACTGGAATAAAAAAAATTTAACTAGACATTTTTAATCAAAAATTAAAAATAATGTAACAATTGTCATATATGTGATTCTATTAAATCATCTTCCACAGACTCTTAGCCACAGACAACTTCCTTAGCCGCATATATGCCTCTTTTTCATCAAAAACATGTCATTGTGCAACACAATAAAAATATCCTATCAAGGCTCCGAAAGCTGATTATATCTAAATAACTTATTTCAAATCAATCTATAGATGTAAAGCTTAAATCAACAATAAGCACTTTAAAATTCTTTATTGTCTCTAGTTAGTTTTTCTACCAAAATATGCCACCTACAAACCAGATAGACCCCACAGCAGGCCAACATCTGTAATGACAAGCTCTGCCTGAAAGGTTTGAACTCTGACCTCCCAGGCATTATGTCTGCTTCTGGGGTGGCTTATCATTGCTCTAAAAAGCTGATATTTCCCACCCTGGACAAAGACGGGTAAAACACACCACCGGGTCAAACATAACCAGTCGGGTCCCTTGACTGTGCGTCGGAACTGACTAACAGCATCCCCCATACACATAAATGGATGGACAGTTGTTGGCCTTCATTGTCTGAGCATGAAACTGGGGACACATGTTGGGTGGTAAAAGTGTCAGGGCCTGATTGAAGAGCCATTGTGCTGGTTTCCAGTGGTAGCAGTCATGCTTTGTTCCCTGTGTTGTTCATCATTAGCATATCAATATTCAAAGGGGCTGATGCTGGGCAGAGGTGGCAGCCCTTTTTAGCCTAGAGTAGACCCTCGTGCACAAATAATGAAACCTGCATTCAACTCTTAAGGGCCAGCTGTTGAGTTAAGCACATAATTGATAAGAAGTGTGATGAATTATATCGGATCTAAAAGCAGAACCGAGTTTGAGTCGTAACTGGGAGCATTTGTCCATTTAGTCTTTTCTTCTTTTTTTTTTTTTTTTTTTAAATACCCGAAAATTGTTTCAAATGTCTGACAGTGCACGTGGAACACTTTTGACCCATTTCTCTTCTCTTGGGGTGAATAACAAAGGGTACCCATTCTACCCCACACCACCCCTCCAGCATTCATCCCTCCCCTCCTTCAACTCAAGCCAGCTGACCTCAAGACTGGCAGGCTGGGAGACAGTTAGCCCCGTGTGTTATTGTGTGTGTGTGTGTGCGCACGTGTGTGTGTGTGTGTTTGAGGGGCAAAGCCACCAGAGAGTGTCGGTTACTCCGAGGGCCAAGCGGAAAAGCGGTTGGGCAGTTTAGCCAGCTGCTGAGGAAGCGAGCCACGGCTGGCCTGGTCAGTGAAACCTTGCCAGATGGAGCCATTTCAAAACAATGAGTGCTGCTCGCTATGGTTGAAAACTAGAGGCTGGTTGCTCTGGGGATGCAGAGGGTAGACCATTATAAACATTAAATGGATTGTTGTTGGTGTTTGCAATATCTAAAAAAATTCTTCGGATCAGGAACATAGACCTGCTGAACTTTGTCTCTCTCGCAGCGACTGATTCAGACCTAACCGAACAGAATCTAAATAACTTTTGCGCATTCATAGTCAAGGCCTGTTTTTCAAATTCAGACGTCATTCCCCTGACATCTTTGCCAACTATTTTCCCCTCTTTCTCTCTTTCTTTCACACACATTTACTCTCTTCCTCTTTCTCTCCAGACAGCAACAGGCTGAGGTGTCCTGGGACTACTGCGCTTAGGAGTAACCAAGCCTGGGTAATGAGGCGTGTGATTGGTCCCCTCCCTCCTGGACAAGGCCAGTCTTTGGAGGACATGATGGATCATGACAGGAGCACAATGGCAGCCTGGTGTCAGAGGGGTGGCATGGCCGCGCACGGACCCCCCGCAGCAAGACTCGGCCATCCAGCTCAGCTGTGCATAAGAAGTTTTACACACGTATGTACATGCATGTACACAATTCAGGACACAGAGCCACAATGTGGACATACGCAAGCATGTGAAATAGCACATACAGTATGTACAAAGCGAGACCATGTGCATGTAAAAACACATGAATTGAAGCCAACATAATAAGAGGCAGTCGGACTACAAGTTCTACAGTAGTAGAATAAAAGAGCATATTCTCATTTTTTGTCATTAAATTAGAGCCTTTGATGGTGACTATTTTGGCTTTTAGAAAACTGTATTGGCTTCATGTTTTTGCTGATGAAAAGTTGGATATTTTTCTTTTAATGTACTATAGACATTACTTTGCAAATGGCTGTCAAATCAAAATCAGAAACTAAATAATTTTATAAGTTTTATATTTATATAAACATATTTCATAGAATGTTATTGGCAAAAATAGGCCATTCAGTTATATAAAAAAATTCTTAATTATAGTATCTGGACCTTTTTCTTCTCCTGTTTCATCAGACAGTTTAGTTTGTTTTTGTTTTGTTTTTTTAAAAAGGTGTATTTCTTTGTGCCAGCTGAAATCATAGACCATTCTCTGTTACACATGAAACACAACAGATCTGAGTAAAGATTTGTATTCATGAAGCTATTCCATCCTCTTTTCAGGTAAGAGCCCCCACTTGAAGGAAAACAGAGGGGTTTTTTTTTGTTCTTTTTGAAGTCACCCTTACCTGCCTGTTGAACCGGTTCATATTCAATGTCAAAAATCAAGTTGTAATAGGTGCAACAGGCTCAAGACTTGATGGAGGACCATTAATGGCTGATTGCAGCTGCTTTCTCAAGTAGGACCCAGGTGTATTAACACTTTACCAATTTTCTGTGATGATGCTCTACATTTCACAGAGGACAAACAAACCAGGATAAAAGCCTTGGCATGCTTTAAGGGTTTGGTTTATTATAATATTCATGCAAGAGAGCCAAAGTAAACAAGATGTTTTTGGGTGGCGAAAACATCTTTCGTACAATGTCAGACTTTGCTCATTAAATTTATAGTAATGTGCTGATATGAGCAATCATTTTGTGATTATTGTATCAATATCATAAAACAGGAAAATTATGCTTCAATTCACAGTGTCACAACAGCAACGCAAAGGCAAATCAGAGAAGACACTATTCTCACAGTGGATGAAAGGAAAAGGAGAGCAGTCCTGTTGTTGTGCTTGTTGTCTAAGCTCTTTTGATGCTGCATTGGCTTTAGGATCCCAGTTACTGTGTACAGCTCCTTCCAGATTTACAGATTTACAAACATTTCTCCTTTAATCTGCATAAAGATCCACACTGGCTTGTTGACTAGAAGATTACTGCTCACAAAAACACAAAAACTTGTTTCTCATCCATGAAAACAACCAACCACTGGATATTGTTTTTTTTTTATTATTCTTGACATCATGTGAATGTGTGGTGGAATTGCTTGGATGGAGGGAGAGAGGGTGTCAAGTAGGAGAGGTATAATAAGGAGAAAAGAAAAAAATGGTTGATTTCTTTCCAAGTTTGGGAAGCTAATTGCCCTGAGTGGACTAATGAACAGCATAGGTCTAATTGGCTTACACCACTTGTGGGCTGGCGTGCTGGGCGAGTAAAATTGAATCAAAGCTGTAGGACTACGTCAGAGTAGTTCTGCGCGTTGTGGTGGAAATTGGCACTGTGTCAAAAGCATGAGGCATGGCACTCAGCCAAATACAGCCCAGCCCAGCTCTGCGCAAGCGCGGGCTTAAGATTTTACAGGAAAACACATGGGCGAAAATTTTTTTTTTAACGAAAAAAAAAAAAGATGTTGCCAACGAACTAGCTTGCATTTTCACAATTATTATCCATAATTATTGCCTACCCATATACTCTGCGTAACAGTGATCATACAGGCCTATATCAATTTAGGTACTGGAAAATCAGTTGAAAAAAAACTTTATCAACATTTTCCTCTGAACATTTTAATTGAAACAGCTTTTCAGTTAAGGATGTCCACATATGTACGTTGCCTACGCCTTTTTTTCAGTAAAGCCTAACCGTAACACCACAAAAGCTAACGTAACGGCACGCACGCTCCCTCCACTTGTATCATTAATGCGATGGGGTCTATTTTTACCCAAACAAAAGAGAGACGCAGCGATGGAAACGCATGACAACAATGTCCCGAGCAATGCCCAATTGACCCATTGTGCGCCTTGAAAGACAGACACGTGCACCACAACATAGATAAGGAGGAGAGAGACAGAGAGAGAGAGGGGAGGGCAAGCGTGTGTGTGTGTGTGTGTGTGTGCGTGTGGGTGTGTGTGTTTGTGTGTTTAAAGATAGCCACGGGGGATATAGGAGCAGCACACACACGCCTCCAGCCTCTTTAGAGAAACTCCCCCTTTCAGCACCCTGGACAGAGGCAGCGCTGACCGCCGCCGGTTACTTCTTTTAGTTGAGGTAAAGTCGCCGGGCTCACAGACACAGTGCAAGTCAGCTGACGCAGCTAATGGTCAAGACACTTTTCCACTGCCGCCCGCCCCTCGTCTCCACCTCATCTCGAGCTTATCAACGCGGACTCAAAGAGCAACTTGATGAATATTCAAAGTTTCCGTTCTCGGCGCTTGACGACAAGAAAGAGGTCGACGAAGGTGCCTTTTAACCTTTTCCACAAATCAAGCTACCATCGACCAGGGCTCAACTCACTCCTGAGAGGATAAATCGTCAGGAAAGTGCGGGTTTGAATCCATCGTCTGCACTCAGTAGCTTATAAGTTTTTTCTTTTTAGTTTTTTTTTCAACTGTTAAATCAAAGGCGTGCGTCTTTCGGCGCCGTTTCCCTCAGTTGGAACATCGGAACATCTCCAAAAATGTTGCTTGAACACCCGGGGTCAAGTTGTCAAAACACCGGAAATTTCTCTCGGTACAGTTCAGGCCAAGGTAAGAAACCGGTTTGATTATTTTAACTGTGCTTCATCACTTGTTTCTATGTTTGTTTGTTTTGTTTTGTTTTTTGCCAGGAAAAGGGAAAGAGCGTCCATCAAATACAGGGAGCACTGAGTTTTAATTGATGTCCTAGGGTCCGTGAATTGGTCACAATTAGGCGTGAAATAGAGGATAATGCAGCGCAGCAGGACGGCAGGTGGTTCTTGTTTTGCTGAGTGAACTCTGACAAGCATGAAATGGACGTTGTGAACTGTTTGTATTTTATTGTGAAAAGCAGCCACACGGGCTTTCACGTATGATCTGATGTTTGAGAAGTTTCGGTAATAACACATTAAAGGTGCAGATTTTGAAAAGTTGCAGAAACCCCACCCCCCCCCCCCCCTTTATATTATTTAACACACGCTGATGTATATAGAGTTTAGAGGCGCATCTTTTGCGCTGCTTGTGGGAGACGTTATGAATCTGTAATGAGCCTTCATTGTTGGCGAGTCACACCAACAGATGTTATGCGCGTGCTGTCATTTCACACCGCCGCCTGGGGTTGTCACGGGAGTGCAGGGAGCAGAGTGCAGGGATATGGAGAGAGAGAGAGAGAGAGGGAGAGAGGGAGAGCACCGGACCCACTGCGGCGACAGCAGCCTCTCTGCGGCTGCACGACAGACTGCCAGCAGGCTCCCACCCCGCACTCCACTGAATGCTCCAACAGGTGTCACATTCCTGCCCTGACAGGTGGGACACCGGAGGTTGCCAGTAAAGGTGGTAATGGAGTCGGAAATAGTGGTCCGATTCTAAGCTTATTGATTACTGATTTGTGTAAATATTTAGTGGCATCCAAAGAAGGGGAAATTGCAAGTTTAAATTTTTTTTGTTTGGACTTTTTACTGGAATAAGCTTTTGCGTTATTCTGGTAAGTCGACGATCATTGTGTCTAAGGCTTAACACGAAACTACATTTTCAATTATTTCTATTTTAAATAAATGACGTGGGAGCTAAAGGGAGAAGGGGATGGTCAGATTAGATTAGATTAGATACCCAATTGATTTTTAACCAAATTTAAACATTCAAATTGGAAAAGAACTTTAAACGAAAAATTGTTTCTGATCAACCCTGTGCTTTCTCTAACTGACTGACCATTACCCTGATGGCCTTTTTATCGCTTTGTTGTCGCATTACTGTGGGCCTCACCCCCTCAAAAGTAAGCGATCAATATGACATAAAAATTATTACAAAGCTGAAAAGTAAGAGGGGCACCCATGAACCCCACACCTCTCTCCAAAACGCCTTTCATATACTGCTGAAATACAGGCAAATAGGACATTGATTTTAGATTCATCAGCGGCCCCGGTGGCTGTGGCACTACCCGTGATTTCCCCAGGCGCTCTTTTGTGCCAAAGATCAGTGTCAATAAAATTCATTGGGGTGTTGGCCCGATCAACATGTTATTGAACAGCCAATCTCTCCCCTAAATAAACACTTGTCTTTGAGCACTCAACACACACGAGATGCATGCGTGCGTGTGTGTGTGTGTGTTTGTGTGTGTGTGTGTTTAAGATATTCAAAATCACTTATTTAAAATCTGATCAGATAGAGGGCCTATAGGAACACTAGATTAAATATATTAAATGTATTTCTGTTGTTCCTACTTGTACGACTAAAATTACCAAGAATAATAATGGGCTAATAAGAATAATCATCATCATCATAATAAACAGTTATATTTTTAGCTTTAACAAGTGTACAAGCACTTACATTTTTTTCCCAAACTAGAGCAGATATATATGAGTTAAAGAATTAAAGGGCCACTGCTATACACAATAAATAAAGAATCTGATTAAAGCAACAGTCCAAGGCAAGGATCTAATCAAGACTGTAGTGTTTCCTTAGGGCCTAGTCTTTCCTTTACGTGTGGAAGTACTGAAATCTGAATAAAAACTGGATTAGCAACAGCAATCTGTTGATTTACAAAATAAACCAAACACATCACGGTGTCCAGTTTTCTGGATGTTTTGAGGCTGTAGATCTAGAATTTGTTGTTCCCATCAGTCTCATTTCAAGACGGGGGGGGGTCTTTAACATGTCCCTCACAATGTTCTGCCCATGGAGGCATAGTTTGTTGGGCTTCTAGCTCGAGACAGTTTTACATCCTTCAAGGTAGAGCAATACAGAAACTGTTGCTATATTTTCTAATACTCATTTTTAAAAAGAAAAACAGTGTGTATTTTTCGTAAAAAAAAAAAAAAAAAAAAAAAGTAATTGCCATCATATTGGTCAATTGAATGGTGGGAATACTTTCAGGAATAAACTATTATCGGATTATGATCTATTATCAGAGTTGGAGAACAGTAGATACTTCCAATTCAAACTCCAAAATGAAAGGCGGAGCTGCAGGAACTCAACAGTTTTTGATCTTTCCTTGATGTTTAATTGTTTGAAAAGTAATACGCTACAATAATGTAACGCGTCTCTGAGTAACGTTACCACCCAGCTCTGAAACTCTATTGGCTTCTCCCCCTCTCGCTCACCTCCTTGTTTATTCCTCTTCCGGGTAAGGTGCCTCGGTAGGTGATGTTAATCTATCTCCTCTGTCGCCCGGGAAACGGCGCAGCGTAATCCTGCTCAGGCTCCAACACAGTGAAGCGTAAAAAGCAAACTCCACCGACCACTCGCGTGTTTGTGCTCGCTTTTTTTTTTCTTTAAATTTCGGTGGTTCGTGCTATGACAAATTTGACACAGTAGACTTACACCGGTCCGGTGTTTGAGTGCGGATAGATAACAGACAAGACAGTTTTGCATTAATGTGAGCGTAAAAATCATGAGCAATGGATGGACATGTTGAGCGCAACTCTCCAAAAGAGGCAGAAAATAACGCGGAGATGCTCCTGGCTTTGCTGTCGCACAGTGAAGAGCTACGGAAAGGTAACGGCAAGACAAAATATGATCTATTTATCATTATTCATGTTTATATTACATATATTAGTGTGTAGCCTATAACATTTGATCTTAGCATACATATTGGACTTCGGTGTTTTTAAATGGGCCTTTAAGTGTTGGCTGTTGGACTAATTGCAGTGTGTTGATTATCTCTCCACTTTGTTCAATAAGAGTGTGATCATAATTTATAGGTTATATACACTGGATTACGGATGTTACAGCTGTGCAGTCGTGTTGATTTGGGGGATATTGTCCTGTCACGCGGATCAGTCTTACAGCAGCTGAGACAGGGGACATGTGCCATGTTCCTTTGCTCCAGATCTCGGCAATGGAACTTTTCAGGCATCAGGCGTTTACATAAGATTCAATCTAATAACCAATCGAATTTCGATCTAATTCGATATTTAGCGCATTGTTAAGGATAACTCAGGCTTAACTCTCTTCTGCCACCATCTTAATAATAAAAACTGGTTTTACGCATTTACTCTGACATAAACCTTTGTTATTAAGATTCAAATGCAACCACATGTAAGGCAAAACGTACTTTTTTTCTATAATTTCGTTACGGTTGTGTGTTTATGATCACTATAATCATGCCTCCATCTTATATTTACCCATACATTGTCCTTTTATGAACAATTACGAGTAGGATGTTGGAGTGTCCTGCTCCAAAAAGAAAAAAAAATCCAAGAGATTTCGATAGGGATTTTGCAAGCATCTATAATTTTAATATTCCAGCTGGGCCCCAGAGAGGTGAGCAAATTGCTTGGACACCTTGTTGGTTTGTACCGTGAGACTACAGGCCGCAGCTCTCTAGTTTTACAGCGCTGCGTTGAATTAATGATGACCTGGATACACCTGTTCTAGACGTGGCTCCCACCGCACTTGTGCAGGGCTCGCATGGTGATGCCAGAAGAAATGGTTCGTTAATGTTTCATGGATTGTCCGCAGCAGAACAATAGGAATGCGATTCCTTGCACGGATGGAATATGAAGTGGTTGAGCTTCTTTTAATTAGTAATAAAGAGGCTCGGTCACGTCTTACGTGGCATTTCAGTTGTCCTTATTCTTACTTTGCTTGTTTTGTTTTTATGTTTTTGATATAGAAATGTCTCCGTTGTTGTTGCTTTGAGCGGATTTTGTTAAGTTATGTAGGACAACTAGACATATTGTATCACGAGCAGTCGATCCTAAAATGGTGCTGTACACCTCATCTGGAGATTTGAAACGCCTCTCATCATTTGATTTTTTTCAAATGGATTTTTCTGCAGAACAAATGTGCAAATCAACACCCTGTTTATTTCGAATATTTCTATAACAGCTATTATTAATTCATCACTGAAACTATGAAATGTAAATGATTTCATTATCTTTTCATCAGTTAGACATATGGGCCTAAATACAATAGTGGTTTCAAGTTAAATGCAGTGGTTAAAGGGGTAAGAGTCTAATGTTGAGCTCATGAAACACTCCTTTCCACACCAAGGACAACTGCCCCTGAAAACGTTAAATGTAAAATTAAACAATATATTTATTTTTACAGCTATATATTCCAAGCTTGTGCTGATTAGGTAACCCGGACATGTTTTGGAAGTTAGTGCCGAATATAATAGTAGTATAGTATAGTATATAATATATAGTATAGTTTGAAATGAAAAAACAAATTCTTTTTTGTTTTTGTTTTTTTTTTGTGTGCAAAGCAAATATGTTATCTGGCAGATTGGCATGCCCATGGCCCTATACAAGGCTAATAATACAATATGTGTTTAATTTTCTTTGCAAACTGTCCTTTTCCATCAAAATATTTGTTGCTTGGGAGATTAACAGCAGTGGAAGGTGCTGTCTTTGCACTATTATACGACACTTTGTTGATATCTACATTTAGACAGAAATAACTGTGTTAATAACATTCACAAGTAAGTTGCTTCTGCGCGTGAAACAAAATGAGTGATGATGATGATGATTATGTAGTGATGACGAAGGGAGAAAAATAACTTACAGTGGTATTTTACCAAATACAAGTCATTATAATTCGCTCTCATACTGAAAATGTTGGAGGATTATTTTAGGCTATAGACTGTTTTATAAAATCGAAATAAAAAACAATTAAAAAAATACAATAACCTTTTTAAAAAAAAAAAGAAAAGCAAATGTGGATACAATTAGAGAAACTCTCTGTTCAGTTCAAGTGGCATATCTCCTTTCTGTGGCTCGGTATATTCACGCTGTTGATCTTCATTTTTTGCCATAAAGCCAACTGTTTCCCTATTGAGAGGCTCGCATAATGAAACAGGTGTAACCAGTCACAGATAATCATTTGTAGTGTGCTGCATATTGCTCACAAGAAGCAGGTTCAGTTGTCATTCTGCGTGTCGGTGACAAATTCTCCTCGTGCCATTTAACATCTGTCTCATGCACATTGAACTGACTCCACTGGATGTTCTGACTCCATCATGTCTCCTGCAGAAATCCCAGTGTGCGCGGGCTGCAGTCAACACATCGTGGACCGCTTCATCCTCAAAGTGCTGGATCGCCACTGGCACAGCAAGTGCCTGAAATGCAGCGACTGCCAGGCTCAGCTGGCGGACAAGTGCTTCAGCAGAGGCGACAGCGTCTACTGCAAAGAGGATTTCTTCAAGTGAGTAAATGTCTCACGTGCTGCTTTCAAATTATTTATTAAAAAAAAAAAATATATATATAAGTATATATATATACTATATATATATATATATATTGGTTGCTTAACATTATATCGAATGACGTTTAAAAAAGATATTGATGGCGACCTTGTCATTGTCCAAAAGGAGATTCGGGACCAAATGCGCAGCGTGTCAGCAGGGGATACCGCCCACACAGGTGGTGAGGAGGGCGCAGGACTTCGTCTACCACTTGCACTGTTTTGCCTGCATCGTGTGCAAGAGGCAACTGGCCACAGGTGACGAGTACTACCTGATGGAGGACAGCAGGCTGGTCTGTAAGGCCGACTACGAGACCGCCAAACAGAGAGGTGAGCTGCGGCTATGTCGACTTTTTTCTTCCCGACATGAAAAGAAAGACATGCGCACTATTTTACGCAGGAAAAAAAAAAAACATGCGCACTTTTTTTCCCAGGAAAAAAAAAAAAAAAAAAAAAAAGGTCCGCACCGCCTGTGATTGCGTCAGTTTACATGATGCGTTGTGTGTCGAGCTGTTTTTAATCACTGCGAGTCTGACGTGACAATGAGGTCACCCATAAACTTTGACCCACCTGTGCTAATTGCATCGTTGCCCGCAAACCAATCGATAGCAAACAGTGGAGGCCCGGAGGCTTACACTTGCACTTTGCACTTGAAGGAATCAGTTTTCAATAAGCCTTATCATTGTGTGTGTTTGTGTGTGTGTGTGTGTGTGTGTGTGTGGGTGTGTGTGTGTGTGTGTGTGTGTGTGGGTGTGTGTGTGTGTGTGTGTGTGTGTGGGTGTGTGTGTGTGTGTGTGTGTGTGTGGGTGTGTGTGTGTGTGTGTGTGTGTGTGGGCACAGACAGACAAGTGGAAGTGCAAGTGGATGCAAACAGCCTCTGTGTTACAATAGTCTATGAGAGTAATATATTATTATGTCTATTTATGTAAAGCTGTAACAGTTCTTGCATGTTTTCAAATTCAAATGTAAAATAACAGGCACATTTTCTTGACATGCTATATTTGCATTTGATAGTGTGTTTTAAGCACAGTCACCTACTTTAATTATTAGTAGTAGTTAACAGTAATTAAGTCTGAACATGAGAAGACTGTTTACATGTGCAGTATAGGCCTGTGACTCCAAAACAGTCGCAGTCATGAGCGTAATAAAAATCAGTTTTACTACACAAACAAATAAGACACAGCACCGAAAATCCACCGGAACAATAATGCTCATGCTTCTGGGTTATTATTGTATCTCTGTGTTATCCTATCTACAATCATTTTTCAAACAAAAAATAAGCATATTTGCTTATCAAAGACTACAGAAAATATAAATTGGAGATGACTTCTCATAGGGACAATATTTCAATTGTAACACAGTTTGTAAAAGAGTTCAATAAAGACAGATTACCAAAAACTATTATTATCAAAAATATATAGCACAATAAATATGTTGTAATTTCTTTGTTCCTTGACGGGAAATAGTGAAGATTCATCTGAGCTTTAACAACTGGACTATGATTATTGCTATAGATACACAATTTCTGGCCTGATGCCTGTGTATTGCTTTTAGATAGATGTATTTGTAGTCGTGCTGTCATGAAATATTTGATAGCTTTTCAGATTTTTGCCAAACACCGTTGATATGCCCAAACACATTTTCATTAGATCGCTTGTTTAATATCAATAGTCGACCAACACCACATTTACTTCACTGAAAATCCCAGCAGCAGCTTGTGTTCCTCACAGGACAGACCGGCCATGGTCAAGTTTTATCTCCCCATCTGTTTGTTTGAATTTACTGCCCGACACCAGGTGCTGATTTATGCAACGAGTTAACGCAAGTTTTCGCAAAAAACACACAAGTTTATTTTACTAATGAGAGGGTGCAATTACTTGGGCAGCATCCATTTGGATGATGGTTTTTGTATTTTGCTGTGCTGGCCAACAGACCTGCAGACATGATGCAATTATGCACAGGATGCCAGAGGTTGGTTTATAGGCAGAAGCGAATTTATCCATTCATGTTAAATTAGAAAGTTGTATATTATAGAGGCTGTTTTATGCTATCAGCTGCCGTGGATGTGTGTTTCTATCAAAGATTCTTATATTACTGACCCAGAATACGCACACACATATGGGAAGATTTCTTTGCCCATACTCATATTCAGATCCTCATAAATCATTTTCTTATTATGTATTAGAAACAATAATAAATCTAAACACCATACATAGCAAAATAGCAGAGTAAAAAATCACTATTAGACTATTACCGTATGCTTTCAATATTTATTCCTGACAAAAAGAAAAAAAAAGTTTGAGTCCACATAATAACAGCACTGGCTTACATTGTGTGGTGTCCATTCAATTTTCAGAAGCAGACTCGACTGCAAAAAGGCCACGAACAACCATCACTGCTAAACAGCTGGAAACGCTGAAGAACGCTTACAATAACTCTCCCAAACCTGCCCGTCATGTTCGAGAGCAGCTATCATCAGAGACGGGCCTGGATATGCGGGTTGTGCAGGTAAAGTGTATTATTATCCATTAAGGGCTATTCCATTAGTGTCCTGACTTCATTATGAAGGGACAATTGTGGCCGAACTGGCACAAGCCTACAGTACGATCAATTGTGTGTGTGTGTGTGTGTGTGTGTTGGGTGGGAATTTACGGCTAGATTGAGTAAAATGAAGTCCACGTGAAAGTCAGCATGGCTTAAGTGCGAGCTCGTTAACAATGCTAAGAGGGCCCCTCGCATATTGTCTGCTGCTGAGGAGCCTCACACTGGGTGCTAGGTGGTGGTCATATATATTGTTTTATTTGCAAGGACAAAAGTAGAGACGGAAGCCACTAAAATGCTCCTCATTATTCAGTGAAAGGGAAGGGGTGACGGGGGGCTTCACTCAGGGCGGAATATCATTAAGGAGAATGTAAAACTGCTTTTTGTGCTCGTGACTGAAATGGATTAATTTCTGTGCGTAAGATAAAATTAATAAGACACGGGGCCCGTCATTCACTTTGCATCAGATGTCATAAACATTTACAGGAAGTGAGATTTTAGATTCAGTTTAGACCAAGCACAGCGCATGTGTTGAATGTTTTCTAAAGTGCAAGCAAAAATTTATAGGTCCGATCAAACGCGGAGATGGAGAAATTTGAATAATTTAAGTCAGTGGCACGCTAACCTGTCTGCTCCCCGGGGGTGAGGACAACTTGTAGCTGTCGTGAAGTTAATTAAATGCGTGATAAATCTGGTGCAGGGGACGCTGGTCCCAGGATTACTGTTCAGTGTCACAGTTTTAGTCCCCCGCTTGGACTCATCAAGGCGCCAAATGGTGTCCAGACAGTCCTTGAAAATTAATTTTGTTTTAATGCTTAAAGGCATAATGTGTGCATCAAGGAAAGAGGACTGATTTAGCGGACTTTGTCTTGTGTATGAGAGGTATGATGACTAAAAAAAAAAATTTAAAAAACACTGGAGGGTATTTGTATAGTCATGTATGGTCCTCAAGACCTGAGAGGGTTACGCATACTAAGCAGATTAATCTAAATTAAATTGTGTTAGAAAGTATTTGTTTGTTTTATTTTACAAAATGAATAAGTTGAGGCTATAGTTTTTGAACACGACCAAAATAACAGTTTTTATTTGATGCTCAGACTTAATTTCTCTCATGGAAATTTTAGACATTGTTCTAAATAGTCAAATGTATTTCTAATATGTCACAAAAGCCATGACCAAATAAGGAATCTTATGTTTTTCCCCTCCAGGTTTGGTTTCAGAACAGGCGAGCTAAAGAGAAAAGGCTGAAAAAAGACGCTGGCCGGCAGAGGTGGGGCCAGTACTTCCGCAACATGAAGCGGTCGCGGGGAAGCTCCAAATCCGACAAGGACAGCATCCAGGAGGAGGGCATGGACAGTGACGCAGAGGTGTCCTTCACAGGTAGAGTCCACCACACAAAATGAACAGAATAGGTTTTTTTTTTTTTTTTTCCACAGCAAGACATTTTGACTTGTCATAGGAGGAAGCCACTAATTCAAGTGTCCCATTAAGCTATGACAGTGTGACAGTGAGCCAGAGAGCATGATACCAGGACCCTGAAACTGAGGCAGCCACCATTAATTTTATTATTTACACCTGTGCTTTTCCTTCTGTGACACGTCAAAATGTCTTCCATGAAAAAAGGCCTAAAAGCACAGGTGTAATAAATAACATGCACCATATACTACTCCATTTAGATGTGTCACTGCCTTGTAAGGTGCATACTGGGGGAGCTTAATGGGACACAGCCACATTGTTCTACATTACACCTGCGCTTTTGCTGCTTTGACTATTTTCGTTTGGTGCAATAAATATAGAATAGCAATGTTACTTAATGATGTACTTAATTTCTTAATCAGACAAGAGAATAAATTTGCTGGCAGCAGTCATTAGAGAGACTGTGGCTTTTTAAAAAGGGGGATTAAAAATGTTTTGCATAGTTCCAAATAATATTGATTATATCCTGAAATGTTTAATGAGCTCTAACAGTTTAACAGTAAGTTTAAATTGTTCTGGCATCTCTTACTTTACATCAAGTCATTGTTATGTGACTATGTTTATCGTTTTTTGGGCTTCTTATTGTGATGATATTCAATTAAGAAATTAATTTCTAAAGGCTTGGTCACACCAGAAAGTGGTGACACAGCAAAATTTCACCTGTAGTGCATCTTCACAGAATATGCAGTTATAGCAGCTTGGAGGCACAGCAACTAATCATGGTCACGGATGTTTAGCTGGCCAACTACCGTAACTGGCAAGCTAACCGCTAACTCGTTAGCCAGCCTGGAACATGCTAGCACTCTACTGTCACAATAGCTCCCCAAGCTTTTTAAAAATGTTCTCGTTTACTCAACCCCGCCATTTTATTCTCAGGTCATTTCATTTCATTAAGAGCAGCTGATGAGGGTAAAAGTTCTCTCAGCTAGCAAGCATTTTAGTTTGGTTGCTAATAAGACAATAAGTTCACAAAGTGTAATCAAAAGACATAGTACCACTGACTCTTGTCTCATAAGTGTAAAATACATGTCTCCTATATGAAGGAAAAGAAAAAAAAGAAAGCTAACAAAAGATACTTCCTCCATTCTGGGCTCTGGACAGTTTGTTATTGGTTATTGGTGCAAACTTGTACGTCAAAGTTCATCAAAGTTGAGCTTGATGAGAAATATTTGTGCAGATTTACTTCACCCCCATAAGTGAATCTGTTGTTTTAATTAGGGGTGTGGTGGCTATCCAAAAACTTATCTTGTTGATTGTGGAAACTTACAAGTGTCACTTTTGCCTTGTTGTCCTTGTTGCACAGATGAACCCCCCATGTCAGACCTTGGCCACACAAACGGCATCTACAGCAGCCTGAGTGAGTCCTCTCCAGCCATGGGGGGCCGCCAAGGGGGCAACAACCACGGCTCCTTCCCCCTGGAGCACAGCGTCCTGCCCTCCCAAGACCAGTTCCACGACATCCGCTCCAACAGCCCCTACGGCCTTCCTCAGTCGCCAGGGTCACTTCAGGCGCTACCCAGACACCAGCCTCTCATCTCCAGCCTGGTCTACCCCGACTCAGGCCTTTCTATCATGACCCAGGGCAGCGGGCCCGGGATCAACCCGGCCGTGAGGGTCACCATGGGGGCAGCCAACGGCCCCAGCTCGGACCTGTCCACAGGCAGCAGCGGAGGATACCCAGACTTTCCTGCCAGTCCTGCCTCCTGGTTAGATGAAGTGGACCATGGGCAGTTTTGATTGGTCGTCGACAAAATATTGGACATTTTTTTCTTTTCCTTTTTCTTTTTGGGTTTTCTGTGTCTTCTGTTGGATTTTAGGGACTGGACAGTGATTGTGTAAAGGACAAGACTATCCTTGGCTTGGATCTCACCAATATCTGATTAACAGGTCGATCAATATCTGTGATCTGGATGGACGGAGGGGAGAGAAGAATGCCCTTCCTCAAAAGCACTTGGCCAACAGTTATCCTTCACTAGAAAAACTGTATGTAAAGCAAAGAATCTGTCAAAATTGTTTCAGTTTTCAGAAACCACTATAAGCTTTTTTCAGAACAATGTACAGACAGACTCAGAAAGTTTAGACATCAATCATTTGGATTTTCACACACTCCCCGTCCTTATTCTCATCTCCTCCCACTGCTATCCGTTTTCTACAGTGTGTTCAGGTGCAGAATTCAGTTCAACGTTCAGAGTCTTTAAATGTCTGGTTGTTGCCAAATGTCTACATATATAGATATATATATAATGGTTTATCATTGTGGAGACTTTATTTTTATATAAACCCCTTCTTGGACATGAATAAGAACCCAGATATGAGGACTTTGTACATTCTTAAACAGGGATATAGGCAAAAATGTAGATGTTGTCTTAAATGGTACCTAGGGGTCCAATTACTTCTATGCATTTGTGTGTTCTCAGATGTATCTCGTTCGTTTTGTTCTACTGAAAACAACCCCCCGAGGAAGAACTGCTATCGCACTCGGGGTCTGATGTATATGTTTGTTTATGTGGAAAATGTTTTATGTCTTATTTATTCCTTCTGGTAATGATAATGATGATGATTCCTGATTAAATGGCAGGACTTTAATAAATTTGTCACCTAAATGAAAGATGGAGTTCTATCTTTTTTGGCTGGACTACAAAATCATGCATCATATATGACAAAATAACTAATGAGTGTCCTTAAAAATAGCTGTGTACAGTGTTTAAGGAATATAGGATAATAGATTAGATCCTATATGATAATAATGTTTTGGATATATTTTAAGTAATTTGTACAATTTGGAAAGTCCTTGTCAAAGCCAAGAAACATGAGCCAAACAAAGCGGGCAGAGTCATCCTTCACATTTATCTCATATCTTAAATGCAGCATCTATCCTATACATTTATCTTGCACATCTATAGCATAACACAGCGCTGATGGTGAAACCAGAGTTCTGCCTGTGTCTGCAAATTGAGTCTCTGGCTAACTACCAACACTGTATCAGGGGTTCAACAGCTCTTTAGTGGAGAAATTTGATGCAGACAGAGAGTCAACTCATCAATTCAGAGATTACTGGGTCTTGTTTGTCCAAACGCCGCCATGGGAAAGGAATCTCCAATCCATTAGCTGAGAAGGGATCAAGTGCCCCTTGTGAATTTCCTCATTTGTTTAGTTATTCAAAGTCAGGTTCAATTAAATAGATTAAATTGTAAAATGTGTGTGTGAGGGCGTGCATGTGAGTGTATGTGTGTGCGTGTGTGTGTGTGAAATTGCATGTTTACGTATTTGGTTCTCAGATGACTTGCAATATGATACAGAGACTTTAAACTTTTCAGTTGTACCTTAAATCATTTGTCACATTTTAAAACTTCTGCTTTCTTTACCAATATTCATTTATCTGTTTGTTTATGGAGGTGCCCTCTCAACACCTATAAGCAATTTGTGAAGTGTTTCTAAAGCCAACCTTAACTGACTCCATATTTCAAGTTCAACTGAATAATCCTAAATATGTCAATCAAATTTGTTTATTTCGGAGAACCAGTGATGGAAAGTAGCTATGAATATTTACTCAAGTACTGTAATTAAGTAAAGCGTTGAAGTATTTCTATTTTAATTAAGTATTTCAATTTGATCATACTTTATACATTACATTCATTACATTTCTGGGGGAAATACTCCCCTCAAATTATATGACAGCTGCAGTTTCAAGTTCTTCTTTACATACAATACAGATCAATAGAAGCTTGGTAAACCAACAAGCACAATAAAGTTCAAAATAGTCCTGCAGAGTCCAGCTGTCACTTTAAATTACTGTTTACACATCAATGCATCATCTATTACGATATGACACTGTGAAGGGAATTTTGCATTACGAACATTTCTAATTTTGATACTAGTATATACTAAGATACTAATATCTTTTGCTGATAGCACTTTTGTACTTTTATGAAAGTGAAAAACACAATTTTACATTGTTGTATTCGGATTTTTACCTAAAGTAAAATGATCCCAGTACTTTTTCCTCCACTGAAAATAACAGCAGTCATACTGTCAAATGATTTATACTTATGCACTTCTTTCCTGCAAAATCAATACATCTGTGAACATAATATTTGATGTTCTTAGAGCCACATTCAGTTCTAGAGAAAACATCCATAGCAAATATTGTGGTATGCTTATTGTGTTTCAATATAAAGTGGGACCACTTAAGTTAAGCTTCATGTATGTGAATGTGAATGTGTGTGCGTCTGACCTGTAAAGTATGACGTGCATGAAGGTGATAGCCAGCTGTCCTCAAACTAACCTCCAACTTCCTCCACCATTAATGGCTGCCCGCTCTGCTCCTCAGTTTCCCTGAACAAGAAAAGGAACAGCAGACAGGATATTCACCTGAATCCTTCCAGCTGAGTGGCAGGTATCACTGTTGCCCCGGTAAAGCGACAGGTGTGTAACCTGACCCAAAGAGTGTTTGGCAAAGACAGGAAGGGGGTGAGAGTGAAGTGTCAAAGGCTGTGTTAATCTCCTACAATACCCGGCTTGGTCAGTTTACTTGCCTGTTTGTATTTGGGGTTAGGCGGGCTGATATTTCTCAGATTCTGAGCAAACAGGAAGTACTTGGCCTAAGTCTAAACTGTTAATTGTGGTTCTGTTTACCAACAGGCCACTTATGCTAAAACTACATGCACTTGTAGATGTCTAAAAAGTCTTGAATTTGTTGACCCCGCGGCATTTGTGGTCAAACTATTTCTCGACAAATGATCGCACTTTCCTTCACCTTCACTTCTCAGCTTTATCATATCGTGTGACACACAGCAGGTGTGAGATTTTGGTAACCACAGGATGAACTTTTCAAAGCAAATAACTGGGATTATCCCACCCCACTCTTCCAGATTGAGTTGGAAATCCACCATTTTCTGAGTAAAGAATTGGATTAAGTTGCAATTTGTGGGATGGGTTGTATAAGAGAGTCAGAAGGTGAGAAAAGGCGCTTTCAGTGAGGCGTTAGCAATAGCAATACAAATGCAGGTACCTTCACGATAAGTAAGTATATGGTGGGAAAATAATGTGCAAAAAAAAAAGAAAGAAATGGTGGGAAAAAGGTGTTGAGGGTTTGTGTGCACTAAAGTGAAGCAGGGCAGTTAATTGAAACTCATTCTTTTCAGACAAAGGCTGGCTGTGTTAACACTCCTTCCTGATGAAGTTTAAAGCTTGCTAAAGATGATGATGCTGAGAGATACAAGATACAACGGTATCAGCTATCTGGTAATACAATGGCATGTGCTAAAGTCAAAACTATGAGAAAGGAATATGAAATGAAAGTTAAATAAAGTGCCTGGATGTGGATGTGATTCAGGAATAGTTCAGGATTTTGGGAGAAAACATTTATTCAAATTCATGCTAAGACTTAGATGAGAAACCTAATGCTACTTTCATGTGTGACTCTTAAATATGAGACTACAGCCAGCAGCCAGTTAGCTTAGCATCAAAACAGGGGGAAACAGCTTGTGTGGCTCTTTCCAAAAATAACAAAATCTGCTTACTTGTTCCTCTAAAGCTCACTTACTGAAAATGTTATATTTATGTTGTGTGTTGGAATTTGTCTTGGCCCGGCTAGCTGTTTCCTCCCTTTCACGGTCTTTATGCTAAGCTAAGCTAACTGTCTTCTAGCTGTAGCTTCATACATTATTTAGCAGATGTTAATGAGAGTGGTATCGATCTTCTCATCTAATTCTCTGCATGAAAGCGAAGTACATTCCTTTAATGATAAATGTAATTATCAAGGCAGTTAAAAAGATAGCAATTACATTACATACAGTTAACCATTTCAAATTGGCAAAAAAAAATAAAAAAACCAATCCTAAACTGTTAAAACACTATAAATGTTAAAAAAAAATAAAACAGTTAGTTGTCACAAAATAAAAACAAAGTGGCTGGCTCAAGGAATAATTTGTACTTTGTGCACCATTTTTACTTATATGAATGTGTCACAAAAATGTTCTTAGATATCTTGTAATTTCAAGGTTCATATCCTCTCATACTATGGTGGATCAGTACATGAAGAGAAATAACCCCACTGACACTACTTTCACATTTTCTCAGCATTAATACACCTCTTACAGGTAGCATCAGATATTAGAAACGACATTAGAAAATTTAAGATTCTGATTGGTCCAAAAAGTTAGTGACTGTGTGAGTAATAAAATCTACCATGCTATTTAAGAAACAGACCTTTTAATTTCAAATATTTAACCTCTAAATGCTTTCAGAACACACAGATAGTTCAATGTAAATAAAAGTAGTTATACAGATTCATAATATTGTTTATTCATTTAGAATGTAGTAGTAGTTTATTTTGAGTTGAGATTGTTTTTTAAAATATATATTATTAATTGAATAGGGTACTTATGTTTTTAAGTAATAAAACAAAAAAATAATTATGTACCTCACAAAGTCAGCAGTTCTGGCAGTGTAATAATTTTGAAATATGAACTAAAAGGTGTAAATTTTGAAATATGAATTCATATCCCAGTGACTGTTACGGTTGCCTATTGCTTTGCAGCGACTGTTAAACTGTTGCTTTTAACTGTCCTTTCTGTAAAGGACTCTAAGCCTGGCAGTGCGCCTGTTGTCTCTCATACACGCACGCGCACGCACACACACACAAGCCCCCCCCCAGCCCTGTGTCAGATGGTGCTGAGTAAATCAGGTCTGACAATAACACCTCCCCTGGGTCCCACACATCACAGCTACAATTCAGACCTAATGGAGCAGCAACGGAGGGGAGAGGCCGCTTGGTGGG